TCTATCTATCTATCTATCCATCCATCCATCCATCCATCCATCCATCCATCCATCCATCCATCCATCCATCCAGATTCTTATCTCCTCAGACAACAGATATAGGTGTGTTTGGAAAAGGATTGATATGAATTAGTTTGCTCACAGTTGCCAGTTGGGTTGTGTTACTCTACTGCTGTTTATTTATTTCATAGGGTATGGCCAGATGGTGCATGCATGGGAAAAATTATCACTGTAGAGAACTGGCAGGCTTATAAGCGTTGGCCATTTCACAGCATTTGYCAAATTAAACCATGTCTGTCATACTTATTTCTGCCAATAACACTGTAATTTCAGGTTTTTCTATTGTGCATCCGTCTGTGTGTGTGCGTGTGTGTGTGTACACCTTTCCTTGACTCATTCAACCAATAGCTGCGAGCTGCAGAGCCTGGCCGTTGGTGCCTTTTGCTAAATATGCTAATAGCCTGACACCTGTTTGTATAAGAGGAGATAAATGCAAAGCTTTGTGCCAAGGACACCCTGAGCATCACCCCACAGCACAGAGGACTAACAAACAAGCTGATTTTGAGTCTTTATTTATGTTGGAAAATTCAGTTCCACAACAAGACACGGGTTGTAAATCTGTGTCCTTTTCTTTTTCCCGTCAGTGATGGAGCCCATGACGGTGACAACGTCAGTGGTTGGACCAGATGAGTTCGACCGCAATGTCCCACGGATCTGCGGAGTGTGTGGAGACAAGGCCACTGGCTTTCACTTTAACGCCATGACCTGTGAAGGCTGCAAGGGCTTCTTCAGGTGTGTGTTGCATTTTCTTATTTGTCATTATTTGTATCAATGATTTTCTTTTTAATACTGACTGTACTGAACAGCCTTATCATGTAGAGAAGATGGTATTCATAAGGTTAGCTAAGATGTACTAATGTTTTGTGACATTGTAAATGAATATTTATCAATTCAGTTTAATCAGTTATTGAGATGAGTCCTACTGAACAACTGTTGTTTTTGTTCTTTTTACAAAAAAGATGAAAAAAATGTTTGATATAATCACCCATGTTATAATTTATTCTGTTTGTTATGCTTCTTTTAAAAATGTTGATTTTTAGTGAGTAATGTCAGTGAATTAATTTGATTTTGAGGTATACTCTGTATTTTTTACTCATCATGCCACACAGACATGCCTGAACAACATTCATTATTCATACAATAGTTGTTAGTAGTCCTGAGCTATTTTTTTCCCTCTTTGGTCCCATCTTACTTAGGCACACGCAAAACATGTACTTTTAAATATTTATGACAAATTTAGGATTCTAAAAAGCCAGGAATGTTATTCACTGTAGCTGAAGTGGGGAAAAAGTATCTTGTTTTTAACGATTGATAAGAAAAATTCACATTAATCATAAGGAAGTTCTGCATTGCCATCACTGTTTGTTAATTTATTTCTACTATAATAAATAGTAACATGAATTATTATAATTTGGTTACATTTCATGTGGACCAAGTTGCATATTTCAATCAAATTTGCATTTAATTTTTCTACTAACCCTTATTCTTAAAATGTCTAAAGTTTTAAACGCGTCACAGTCCTCATGTTTTTAACTAACTTTAAAAAGTAAATGACGTTGAGTTTATAACTGGCTCCTGTTGTCGTCCTGCAGGCGCAGTATGAAACGTAAAGCCTCCTTCACCTGTCCATTCAATGGAAGCTGCACCATCACGAAGGACAACCGGCGCCACTGCCAAGCCTGTCGTCTTAAACGCTGCATTGATATCGGCATGATGAAAGAGTGTGAGCAAACATTTCTATTTACTCTTTAATCTCTCTCTTTAGCAAGTCTTTTTTGCTTGGCTGCGCGCTCTCATCCATGTTTACGCAGACAGTTTGGTCCAAATCTTTTAGCAGTTGCTCTACAACGGTCTTTCACAATTGGCAAATTTTTCTAGTGAAAATGTGCTTTCATGGTGTAAAATTCAGCGTGTGGGTTGAGTAGTTGTGAAAAAAGGCTTTGTTTACCTTCCATCATATGAAGAATTTGCCGCATTTTGAAATTTAAAATAATTTATTGATGTAAGAATAAAAAGGCACACATTCCTGATATAGAGATTAAGATTAAGTAATCTTAAAAATATACATTTTGTGGGGTCAGAAATCAGTTAAAGCAGATTTGAACTAATTTATACAACAGTATTTTGGATTCAGTTGAGTCAACGGGTAACACCGATCTAATGGAACCATCTAAAGCTTGTTCAAGGTTCTCCGTATTTTCTAGCTGTAAGTAGCTAACCCAGCTGAAGGACAAGAGCTAAAGCTCATCAATCTTTTTCCTATCTTTCGTTGGACAAATATACTAATGTTTCCACACCAGAATCGAGGTAAAAAGGATGTAATAAAACTTACCTCAGTTCTGTCTGTGTTGACTCTGTTCATGACACAGTGTTGTTAAAAAGTTGGACTGTTTGATAAGTAAAAGCTAAAATAGGTAAGGGAGCTTACTCAGAGAGGGAGTCATTTAAAGGGAACGTGCAAAATCCACTTTTTAGCTGTTAATTGCATTTTGTTGTGTCTAGGAGTGCAGAAAAGTTGAATTTAGTTTTTCCTGGTGCTACAAAAATATCTTTATATTTTGTTTGGGTCATATTTTTCAGCCGGTTCAGTTTTCTCTATTTTCTCTGACGTTTTCTGAACTATTACGTCAAATAATCCGTGACAAAATTACCATATAAGGTCTGGACGTACCGACTACAATTTCCTCGTCTTTATTCTGTTCTGGTTCTGGGTCAGAATCCACTTCCAACATGTAAGGCTGGATGAACAAGTCTTCTGTTGTTGACATCTTTCAGTTAAATTGTAAATAAAATATTTCTGCATCACTAGAAAACCTAACTCCCTCTCTCAAACCGGAGTGGACCGGTCTGGAAGCAGGGGTGAGGCGGGACTTGAAGCACCTTACAGGAACAGTAACAAATCCAGCTGTGTTGAGAGACACACCAGGAAAGTGGTGAAAGAGAGGCTGGTAAAGTTAAAATAAGGAGGATTTCAAACAAAAACATTGTAGTTCCACTTAACAAAGACCCCAGCTGAATGATTTAAATGTGAAAAGGAAAGATTAAAAAGCATATGTTTACTTTAAGAACAAATTTCCGTAATTTGATCTGAGTAGCATTTAGCTTGACATCAACATGATTTTTCTCATTTTCTACATCAAGATTAATCTAGAGCCTGTCTATTAAAGGTAAAAGCTTAAAACAATTCCATTATCAAGCAGTAAGGCATGGTGGTGGTGATATTCAAGTCATAGATGTTTGGCCACTCTGACGATGAGCATCAGTCAAATTGACCATTGAACAAAGTCGTCCTCTGTTCTTCTGACATGCTCCACCCTCCATGTTCTCTTGTCAAGCTGGAATCATACTAAAGCAAGATAATAAAAAACAAATAAGCCAAAAAAACCTTTGAAACACTAAAGTCAGGTGACTGCCATGCATCGTCTTCAGTCACTTGTCCTCAGCTTTAGTCAATACTTAATGCAGACCTGGAAAATTTACCCATCCACACACATTCATTCAGCACTAGATCTCTCTAAAGCTAATACAGATAAATCAATCTATAGAGCCCGGGGACACTTCGGCATGTAACCAAATAATGGTGGAATCGAACCACTATCACATTAAAGGAACGACTTCAGCCACAGTCACTCTAGTATTTGCAAGAGAAACATTACAGGAACTAGTTATATTTAGAATGTGATCATGTCAAGTTGATGTACAGTTATTTATAAAGGCATAAGCTTTGATGAATATTGGCTACAGTAACACTGTAGAGTTGGTCTCAGCCACATGGAAAAGACTTGTATAGGCTTGTACTTCTAGTGATAATGAATGTGAGACGTAGCATGTTTGCCTTAGCTTGAAATTCCTCTGATGTAATACTCAATAATTCATCTGAGGTTCTTTAGAGCAGCTGCTCTGACGCTGCTTCTATATTGGTGTTTACCTTGAAAAACACAGCTGTTTCTGTGATAAATCCAGCTGGCTTTGTTTTTGCACTTTTAGTGCATGTAGCATATTTGTTATTTTAGAATTTCTGAATAAAGAGCAGTAGAGGCCATGTAGAAGTGACTTTACAATCTGAACCAGTGCAGTTTTCAGATACTTTAAAATCAACCCCGCAATGCTACTTTGGGTACTATTGCTAAAGGTTTAGTCTAAGGTTTAGTAAACTAGTTTTTAATCTAATACTTGAAGGGATTCAAAAGGAACAGGAGGGAGTAGAGTCAATGGCTTAGTGAAAACTGATCTTATTTACTGCAAGAAAGCAGGTAATGGAGTTTAGGGTCCATATGCATCAGGCTTCTGTTCCATATGGCCAAATGGTCTTGGGTCAAAATCTGGCTTGACATAATTAGTGCTTTTTTCTGTTTTTCCTTTTTTTTTACCAACAGATGGTTGTTATTAGTGCAGATAATGACCACAGAAATGGCATTGTCTGAAAAGTTTTAAAAGCCTCTTGGTCACATTCTTGTCCTAATCATGTTGAGTTTTTATGTGGAGGACCAGGCGTGGGTGTAACCTGAGAAGGATGCACCATAAGGACAAAATGTTACATCTTGCACCTCTAACTCAAAGTGACACATTGCCACAACAGATTTATAATGAATAACATTGAAGGGTGTCTTCATTCTGCATCTAACAAATATCTCCTTTGTTAATATTTATTACAGACTCCCTAGTTCACCTGACTTAAGTAGGTTTTATTTTAAAGGTCATCGAAAAGTAATGCATTTTATCAGCAGGACATGTTCCCAGCAGCAGTACGTAAGTACAACCATAACCATGGTCATAACTCTGGTCACCATGTTCTAAATTGCTTTGCATTAATCGTAGCTGGCCTTTGAAACAATGAGGCTTGTCTAATTAAGTATAGTTCAATTCGCTTTATTTACTGTATATAGTGTCAGTTCACAGCAAGAGTCATGTCAGGACACTACAGTATAGAAAGACACAGTTCAGTCTAAAACAGATCAAAGTTCACATCTAATTACAGTGAATTCATTTCAGTTATAATTCAATACATTTATAGACAGTGTTTTATAAAATARCAGTAAAAAAAGTTAACAATCTTGTCTTGTATCTCATTTGTTTGGCATTAATTTAATTTAATTTTTTCAACAAGTGCAATAATGTATCTGCATTTTATCTGTTCCGGATATAATTAAGAGGACTGAATGTAATAGTGATTTTACAGAAGCGTTGGTAGATTTCCTCTGATGTTCAGCTGCCAGCAGACAGTGAGACAAAAGCTACATATTTACATGTAGAGGGGGAAACTGAGACACAGTCACCCGCGACAYAATTTACCGCCAGCTGTGAACTCTCGTACTTAAAGCCATAAACTTCTGATCAGGTCAACCAGAACACATGTTGGTGCCAAGTCTGAGTCGTGCCAAAGAGACTCACTTTTGTCTCACACCCGTTTCATTCACACACGAACAGACTGTGTTTGTATCAAACACGGATGACGCGGCAAAATGTTCAATCTGGTGATTACTTCCACGTTCACCACAGATTGCCGTTTTACATGAGAGTCCTTGTGCCTCTCTGATTAAAGAGTAGTGAGCAAAGGAAAGGGGAGAAAGGCTTTTATCACCCTGAAATGGTCTCTTTGTTTGTAACAATTGTTAAATAGAGGGAAGCCAACTCTAAACACTATTCAGCAAAGTGGCTATGTTACTTTCTCTTCAAGGTTTGTGTGTTTTTGCAGTTTATTCTGTTTCAACGTTGAAATCTTAAGAGGAACAACTTGAAAGTAGTTCATTTAAATCTGCTCTGTGCAAATAAGAAGAAGAAGAAGAAGAAGAAGAAGAAGAACTTTTTTAAAATTTGGATTCGGGATGGTGTGCTTTCTACTCAAATTATTTTTAGTATAGATATTTTACACAAATGATTTCAGTTTCACAAGGATTCCATTTGTATTAATAGGTATTTGTTTATTGTCATTTTTTATTTCTGTAGTTTTTTTTAGCTTAGTCACTTTCAGATTCAATCTCTCTCTCCTCTCTCTCTCTCTCTCTCTCT